ATGGATCCTCTTCAAATGGGTCCAAAGGAAAAAGTGGTTTTGCTGCTCCCTCATCCGATCCAAAAGATGCAGAGTGCTTTCACTGTCACGACAAAGGGCATTGGAAACGAATATGCCTGAAGTATCTGCAAGATATCAAGGATGGGAAGATAAAGCCCACCTTCGCAGGTACTTATACTATTCAATCTAATAACTCATCGTATGCTAGTTCTTGGGTCCTTGATACAGGATGTGATTTTCACATTTGTTCTGATTTGCAGGGGCTAAAAAGAAGTAGGGATGTGGAGCATGGGAAGATGAACTTGATCATGGGGAATAGGAGAGCGTCGTCTATCACCAAGATTGGAGTTTATTCTTTAGTGCTTAGTAGTGGGTTAGGATTAGATTTGAACGATTGTTGCTACTCATCAGAAACGACGAGGAATATTATTTCCTTTCATGGTTTGTATAGACAAGGTTTTAGATTTTCATTCAATAATGAAATCGGTTCTATTAATGTTTTCTATAATGGTATTTTTTATTTTGAAGCATTGCCTTGTAATGGTATATATGAAACTGTGATGGTTGTAGACAACTTAGGAAATAATGTGTTGCATATTGATTCATCCAATGGTTTGGACAAATCATGCTTGTGGCATTGTCGTCTTGGACATGTTAACTAGAAGCGCATAGCCCAACTCCAAAAGAATGGAGTATTGGAGTCATTTGACCTAAAGTCGGATGACATGTGCGAATCTTGTTTGCTTGGAAAGATGACTAAATCACCTTTCACTGGTACTTGTGAGAGAGGTGAGGGATTGTTGGATCTCATACACACTGATGTATGTGGGCCCTTCAGATCCACCACAAGGGATGCAAACCGCTTCTATGTTACATTCACCGATGATTATTGCAGATATGGGTATATCTACTTAATCAAGCACAAGTCGGAAACCTTCAAAAAGTTCAAAGAGTTTGAAAAAGAAGTGGAAAATCAATTGGGCAGGAAGATAAAGATGTTCAGATCTGATGGGGGTGGTGAGTATCTTAGTATCGAGTTCCACGACTATCTTAAGGAATGTGGAATTGTTTCACAATTGACGCCGCCTAGGACACCGCAGCTCAATGGTGTGGCTGAGAGGCGCAATCGAACCTTGTTGGACATGGTTCGTTCCATGATGAGTCGAGCTTCATTACCTATCTGATTCTGGGGGTATGCCTTAGAGACTGCCGCACATATCCTTAATCTAGTCCCAACTAAGAAGGTTGCCAAAACACCTCACGAGATGTGGACATGGAAGGTTCCCTTGTTGGCACATATCAAGGTTTGGGGTTGCGAGGCTTTCGTAAGATGAGAGACTCACGACAAGCTTGAGCCTCGTAGTGAGAGGTGTATTTTCATCGGCTATCCGCAAAAATCCTTTGGATATCTCTTCTATAGACCGAGTGACAATGTTGTCTTCGTTTCCAGGAGAGGAGTTTTTCAAGAGAGAGAACTCATATGCCAAGAGGACAGTGGGAGGCAAATTGATCTAGAAGAGCTTCAAGAGTCAAGCGATGAAGGAACCTCTAACACTAGCGCTCAACTTGAGGAAGAGATTCATGTTGAACCAGTTGACGAGTCCTTACCTCTAAGACGTTCCAATAGAGTTAGTGTTCCACCTGTGTTGTATGGTTTCCATATAACAGCTGAAGGTGATACGTTTAGCTGCGATAGTACACTGATAAATTTGGATGAACCTAATAACTACAAGGAAGCCATCGCGGGCCCCAAGTCTGCAAAATGGAAAGATGTTATGGACAGCGAGATTCGGTCCATGTATGACAATCAAGTTTGGAACTTGGTTGACAATGTACCGGGTCGCAAGACAGTCGGTTGCAAGTGGATCTTCAAGAAGAAGACCAACATGGATGGAAAAGTGCATACGTTCAAGGAACGATTGGTTGCGAAGGGCTTCACTCAAACCCCTAGGGTTGACTATGATGAGACCTTCTCACCAGTGGCCAAGATCAAGTCTATTAGGGTTATGTTGGCCATCACTGCATTTCATGATTATGAAATTTGGCAGATGGATGTCAAAACCGCTTTCCTTAACGGGAAGCTGGCTGAAGATGTTTACATGTGTCAGCAGAAGGTTTTGTGGATGCCAAATACCCCAATAGAGTGTGCAAGTTTGAGAAATCCATTTATGGATTGAAACAAGCGTCTTGTAGATGGAATCTTTGTTTCGATGAGAAAGCCAAAGAGATTTGTTTTTCGAGAAGCGAGGATGCGTCCTATGTGTATGTTAAGGATAGTGGGAGTATAGTTAGCTTTCTAGTTTTGTATGTAGATGACATACTGCTCATAGGAAATGACATTTCGACCTTGCAGGAGGTTAAGTTTTGGCTTGGGAAGTGTTTTGCTATGAAGGATCTAGGAGAAGCTCCTTATATTCTAGGGATAAGGATATTGAGAAACAGAAGCAGAAAACTAATAGGACTTAGTCAAAGTACTTACTTGGACAAAGTGCTGAAACGTTTTAGCATGGAGAACTCCAAGAAAGGGGAACTGCCGATCCAAAGCAATACCAAGATGAGTAAGACTTAGAGCCCAAGTACTGATGCTGAGATAGCGGAAATGAATCGAGTTCCATATACTTTCGCAGTTGGCTCGATCATGTATGCTATGACATGTACTAGCATTGATGTGGCTTTTGCGCTGAGCATGGTTAGCCGATATCAAGGGAACCCGGGTAGAGCTCATTGGACCGCAGTAAAGAACATTCTTACGTACCTGCGAAGGACTAAGGACTGGGCCCTTACCCTTTGTGGGAGTGATGACTTGAGAGTGACAGGGTACAGTGACGCCAGCTTTCAAACCGACAGCGATAACTTCCGCTTTCAGTCGGGCTGGGTATTTACCCTGAATGGAGGGGCAATCACTTGGAAAAGTTCCAAGCAGGAGACTGTGGCTGATTCAACATGCGAATCAGAGTACATAGCAGCGAGCAAAGCGTCGAATGAGGCAATATGGTTGAATAACTTCATTGGAGACTTCGGAGTTGTATCAGCCATAAAGGAGCCTATGGAGATTTTCTGTGATAACGAAGGAGCGGTTGCCTTAACCAAGGAACCAAGGGATCATGGTAGATCCAGACACATCGACAGAAAATACCACTTCATCAGACATCGGGTAGAAGAGGGACTCCTCATAGTAAAGAGGGTATCATCATAGGAGAACCCAACAGATCCCCTCACAAAGGGTCTGAGCAGGGCTAAGCACTTACAGCATGCGAGGAGCATTGGTCTAAAGGAAGATATTAGTTTTAGTAATTAGATAGTTGTTTAGAAACTTGTAATAGATAAAATGTAATTGACATTTGATGATTAAATAAAGGAGTTTTATTTATGAGTAAAGTTTACTATCTTGTGTCAATTGTTTACTATTTTTTTCATTTTGCATGTTTTACTTCCAAAATAATTAGATTGTTCAAATTATCCACAGTGAATCATACTTTGGGAGTAAGTTATGAGGTTAGATTGTCATGAATTGGTTTGTAGATTATCTAAGTGTTTAGACATAGCAAAGGTTTGCTGCAACGTTCATGAGTGCTCTTGAAATAAGATTTAAGTATTGGATTAAACCCACGCTCATTTGAATCACTTCATGGAATTCATCACGAGTGATTGTGAGACGATAATATCGTATAATCTTTAAACCGAGATATATGAGTTGTTGTTTACAAGTTGGTTGTGCATTGATAATGCGTAAACGCATCAGTAACTTGATGTTATAAAACGTGTTGTGGTTTACGATTTAATGAGTAAATAGTACAAGCATATAAGTCAAAATTTATCTGTTCCTTTTATCCTAGGAGGGTAAAAGCGATATCTTGGGCCCCTCGATGATTTTGTGTTGACTTATGTGTCGGGCCCGGTCAGGACTGAATTGATGTGTTCAATTAAGTTCTATGTCAAACGAATTAGAAGTTAGGAAACAAACTGTTGGACATTGAGAATGATTATGTTCCATGTCATTGTCCACACGATATCTTGCAGAACGGAGGATTATATGATCCCTTATCTAAAGGACACGTCATTGACTAAGTCAGAGTTCGACTGTGGCTTTTGAAAGCTACGATTGCTAATCAGATTTTGAAGTCATACTTGCAGTTATAGTTATTAGACTTATCCAAGTAGGAGACTGTTGGATTAGGTGTCTAAGCCCATAACTATAATTAGTATGTACTTGACCCGATATTAGCATGGTCCTTTTGGGTTGCCTTCACCATAGCAATTTAATAGGATGAATTATGGAAAAAGAGGTTAATTATGATTTATTAATATATTATAAGAATAATATATTAATTGAGAAATCATATTATTTAATTAGTATTTATCAGAAATTAATTTAGAATTAATTTGGTGATCAAAAGAGACTGATTAAATTGCGCGGACTGATATTGCAATTATATGATAGTTGCAAGTTGGGCTTGTGGATCCCTAGGAAGGGGTGGACGAAATTCTATGTGTAGCCCACATAGATTTCGTCCAAGGAGGCCTTCTGGAAGGATCTACTGGACTGCTTAAGGCTTAAGCTAATAGATTAAGGAGGCCTTTCTGGAAGGATCTACTGGACTGCTTAAGGTTTAAGCAAATAGATTAGGGTTTTACCTGAAACCCTAGCAGCTCATCTATATAAGGAACCCCTTGGATCCCTGAAATCGGCCACTTGATCCTTAGAGGAAACCCTAGCCGATTTTTAGAGCCTCATAACCTCTCTCATATTCTTCCAATTGCTACTTGGTGTCTGTGACTCATTAGAGGTGCAACAATTGAGGCACTAAGCTCTTGAAGGTCAAGATCTACAAGCTACAAGGAAAATGTATCCTTCTAACTTGATTTTATGTTATAAATCTCGAAAATTGTATGCTAGTTAGGTTTTATGCTTTGGATGATTAGTATTGCATGTATAACTTGAGAAAAACCTAGATCCAAAGCATTAGGGTTGCATGTGCATCATAGGAATGATGTAGTGCTCAAAACTCATCAGTCTCTACTCCAGTTCCACCGATTTTAGGTTGAAATACATCATTCAACATTTCATACATGTCATGGTCAAATAGATCTTCAACTACATTATGTACTATACCAGATGATGTAGATGTTGAGCCTTCCCCATGATACACCCATACCAAGTATTCTGAATGAAACCCCGAACTGGTGAGGTGATCCAAAATATCTCCTATTCCACGATAATACATATTTAGGCAACGTGCACAAGGGCACAATATCTTTCCATTAACATTTGATCTCTCAAATGCAAAATTCAAGAACAATTGAACCCCATTTATAAAAGGTTCACTACATATTGGTGCAGAATACATCGAAGATCTATCCATAACTACTCCAATGAAAAGAAACAAGTTACATAGTAAAGCAAGTTCTGACGACATTGGAAAAAGTTACCATATAGGACCGAGCTTCGTAATCATATTGATGGTAAAAAATTTAGTTATTGCAGGAAAAGCAAAAAAGCGACAAAGATATAAAAAAAAAAGTTGTTAACACACCAAAATTTAGTTCATGAGTCTTAATGGAATCATATAAACATAGTAGGAAGCTAAGAAACTAACAAATTCATGAATGGTTGAACACATAAAGAAACATAGACTAGAGCTAGTTGCAACATGTGCAAGTTTGAAGCCTAGTCAACTCTTAGTCATAAAAAAATAAGCCTAGTCAACACGTAAACAACCTCACTTAAGAGGTCAACCAACTGTTGTAGTACAATATAACTCTTAACATGTGGAGCCCTAATTGTTGTTGAACTCAGACTGCAAGTTCTACAGGAGACTCAATGTACATGTTCTGCAGGCATTGCTCATAACAAAGTAATATTTTAATAGTTCAAAGAGATTAGTAGCTCATCAGATTTAGTGTTGCAAGCTAATACACCAGATTTTCTGCAGAAAATCAATCAGCTTTGTAAGAACTCTTAAATCAACAACCTGATTCGATTTACGGGTTTGCAAGAAAGAAGGTACAAAGATAGAGTGACGATGGAAGTTTAAACCAGCTGAACATAGTAAGAAGATAACTGCAGCTAATATATTACCTGATATTAGTTTATGTAAGCTAATACATGTATTCAATCATTTGTTTTGGTAACTATGACCATAAAATACTTATGGTCACAGTTTTTATTTTATCATGACATTTGATTACTTTTAAATACACATTATAATAAAAAAAATAGGAACATATTTGTAGTTATCTTCACTAATCTTTTATCTTTATCATGCTATTTTGTTATTTTTATGCACACATTATAATAGAAAAGTGTAGCCATAAGAGAATAATAGTCATACTTTTTGTTCTTTATCTTTGTGAATTAGTTGTTGTTAGACACACATTATAATATAAAATTGTTAAATACTTGTAGTAATAATTTGTGTTTTTTATCTTTGTAATGACAGTTGGTTACTTTAAGACACACATTAGAATATAAAAGTGTGACCATAAGAAACTTATAGTCACAATTTTTTCATCTTTGTTATGACAATTAGTTACCTTTAGACACAACAAAATATAAAATTATGACCACTTATAGACTTATAGTCATAATTTGTTTTATCTTATAATCACATTTGTTACTTTTAAACAGACATTAGAATGTAAAGTGTAACCAAAAGCGACTTATAGTCACAATTTACTTGACTTCTTGATGGATGCTAACATACACCTAAGTGTAAGATAGTACAATTTCATTTCAACTCATATCTGAAACTTGTCTATTATTCTTTTATTATTACTTGATAACTGATGCTTTAATAAAATAGGAGGAAGTTGTGATGAAAATAAAGTCAAATGAGAAACTGAAAACAGAAGCTGAAAAGCGTTTAGCACAAAGTGAGAAGTTTCAGAATGAGAAAGTAGAGTTTGAAACCACAATTTATTCTAAGGTATTAACTATTAATGCATTAAAGGCAATGTACTTACGTTTTTTTACCCAAAACTACGTCGTTTTTTTAGTAATTATAGACCTAAGCTTTTTCATTTTATGTAATGCAGTTGTAATGATAAAATTATTTTGGTTTTTGTCAAAATAGACAATTTTGTACTTCAAAAAAGATAATGTTGAAGACATGGAAGATGTTGATATGTTTTTCTTGACTGACATGTTTTTTGCATTACAATGACTTACTAAATTATATTTTTAGACAATTATAAGCAAACTAAATTATTCGTATATAATTAATCTCTAATTATCTTTCGTATTATTAAAACAATAATTGTATTTAATTACACACTTCTAAATAATTATTAGTTTATTACACATGCATTATAAAAATATTGCACATTTATGCATTGGAATAGCTTTCATATATATATATATATATATATATATATATATATATATATATATATATATATATATATATATATATATATTACATAAAGAACATCATTATACAAATAATAAACTAAAAATGCATAATTTATAAGTTGAAGGATCAAATTGTTCAAATGAATCTTTAACAAGTAACCAATAGATTCTTTGTGCTTATGAAATGCATACATGTGAACTCTGTGTATGTCTTAATGAAACATTAGGGAACTAATGTTTATTTTCTTAAATATTTCCTCAAGTCTTTGATGGATTACAATATAGGGAATTTCACTTGTTTTTACAAATTTGCCCTTATTATTTTTTTTCTCTCCAGGCCAGATCGCTATGAGGGATTGTTTGGTGAGTTCTTTTATGATCCTTCCAAATGGAGGGAAAGTGTGCCATTTATTGAACAACTCGGACCCTTTCAAGAACTCATTAGTGAAGGAAAGGTAATGAATATAATAATCATATACCTTCTTTATTTCACTTTCACTTTATAGATTTTTGAATCAAAACTATTACTTGGGTCTCTTTTTTTGTAATCTTTTCTAATAATTGGTTATCTATATTCATATTAGGAGAAGTACATTGGTGTTTCTAATGAAACTTCATATGGAGTCATGGAATTCATTAATGTTGCAAAAGCTGAAGGACGTCCAAAGATTGTTAGCATTCAAAACAATTATAGTTTGTTAGTAAAATGCAAGTTTGAAGTGTTGGGTTATGAGCATTACATCAATCATATGGTGCACATGCAAACCCTAATGCTTGGATCTAGTTTTTCTATGTGTACATGCAATAATTGTCCAAGACTTGCAAAACCTAATCTAGCATACAATAAAAACGAAATTAACATCTAATAAACAAGTTAGAAAGTTACCTTTGATTATTGCTTGTTGATCTTGAGCTTTTGAGAATCTAGCACCTCAAATGTGATGCCTCTAATGAATCACAAACACCAAAGCAATTGGATGATCTTGGAGAGAGAGAGAGAGGAAGGCTCAAAATCGGCTCTATGATCTTTAGGGTTCAAGTGCTAGCCGAATTCTAGTACCCAAGGGTTCCTTATATAGCTACAGAGTTAGGGTTTCAGTCAAACACCTAATCTGGTTGCTTAATCCCTAAGCGGCCCATTAGATCCTTCCAGAATCCCTAGCTTGGACGATTTATATTTGGGCTTCCATATAAAATCGTTCATCCCTTTCCTAAGGGATCCACATCCCATATTGCAACTAGCTTATAATTACAATATCAGCCCCCCTAATTCAATTAACTTTTTTTACCACAAAATTAATTCTAAATTAATTATTAACCAATGTTAATTAAATAATATGATTTTTCTTTTAATATATTATTCAAATAATATATTAATAAACCATAATAACCTCTTTCTCCATTATTCATGCAGTCAAGTTGCTCTTATGAAGGCAACCCAAAATGACCATGCTACAACCGGGTCAAGTACATACCAAATATAGTTATGGCTTAGACACCTAATCCAACATGAAGGTACTTTGTGGACTTTTAATTTATTGTTATTACTTTGATTTATTATTCTTGTTTGCATGATTTGTTAGAAGTTGGTTGGAATTGGAATTTAATTCCATTCCAACGTTTGATTGCAAATGACTACGGAATTCACTAATTCCTACAATTTTCCTTCTATAAACTCATGGAATTCAATTTACTAGTATTTGATAAAAGTTTTGTGAACAAGAAATCTAAAGAGGGAAAATCTATCATTTGTCACTATCTACACTATAAATATTGTCACAGATTTACAAAACCAAACAAAAACATACAAAGGAATGGAAATAAATTCCGTACCATATGCTACGTTTTCAATTTCTTTAAATTCCAATTCCAAAATCATTTTTTTTCGACTTTTACGGTTGATCTTGTTGAAGTATGCCATCCATATAACTGCAATGTTGGCTTACTTTGTTATTCTCCATTGGCTGGTGGAGATCAACAAATAGATGAAGGAACTTTTGGTACCAGTTTATAGGGTACACAAAAATGGTAAAGATTAAACTCCAATTTGATCGGGTGTTGTGTTCCATCATGAAAATGATAGTAGGGAAATAGGACCTCACTATCAACATTGACTTTTGGGGAGCATAGAAAGCCTCTGAGTGCATTCAATACGTTTGATACTTTAATGTACATATATTAGAAAGGTGTCCTACAGGTCTAGTTATTTCCAGGTGGCATTCTTACACATTAAAAGAAGGAAAGTTTGACAAGCTCCAGAAGGATGAGTGGATAATTTTTTTATAGGACCGGTAGCATTAAGGAATTAGCTGAACAGATAGCAAAAGACCCATCATTCAAATTTGATAGACCCTACCAGTTTGGGCAATGATTTTGCAAGAAATAGAGTAGTATACAACTTCAAATTTACCAACAAATGAAATTTGTAAATACCCTATTTGAGCAGCAAAAATACTTAACCGTGAGATTGAAGATGCAGCAGCGGCGATCGAGGAAGCGGAGGCGATCGCGGAAGCAACGACGATCGTGGAAGCAGCGACGCACAGGCCGACGGCAGCGTGATGGTCCGGCGTCAACGAAGAGAGGGTCATGATGGTGCGTTTAGATCATCACTAGGAGTGGGAGAGTGAGAGTGGGTTCTGATATCTTCGATGTGTGATTTGGTTGTTGTACGTATTTTTGTGACTTCCGTATCTCCAAATAACGTAATGTGATGATAATTGTTATCTAACCCAAATTATTATGTTAGAATCCCTTTTATAAACAAGAAAATAGATAAATTAATGGAAATATTATAAATCAATCCCAAGTAAAAATCAATTTTTGTTTTCAAAATAATAAAACAACAAAATCAAAATTTAAAAGTATTAACATAATAGTCTTATCTCGGATCAATAGCTTGAGATCATTATAAACATAATAATAAATGTATGCCCCAATTCAGTCTTGTTGTTTGATTCGAAATAAACTGTTTATTAGATCAATAGCTAAAAATCACAAACACAATTGATTTCTTTTTGGGGGAAAAAGAGAGAAAGAAGGGGCTTAATGCATAAAAATGTGGGG